AAAAAAAAAAATAACAAAAAAAGGAAGAAAGAAATACAAGTTCTAGTTAATATGGAAAGCTTAGGTTCACCATTTGAAATTGGATTATGTCCTACACAATATCAAATGAAATTCTTACCTAATAAAGAAGTTGAAAGTAATGAAGATGTTACACCATTACATGTTTCAGTCTTATATAATAAAGTAGAATTTATAGAAAGTTTAATTGTTGATTATCAAATTAATGTTAATTATCAAGATGATTTTGGAAATACTGCACTTATGATTGCTGCACAAACAGGAAATGTAGAAGCAGCAAAAGAATTAATTAAACATAATGCATCGAAATCATTAGTTAATAAATATGGACAAACAGCAATTCTTGTAGCATTAAGATCAGGAAAAGCAGAAGTAGCAAAAGTAATAATTAAGTCATTAACAAATCCATTCCAAAATTTAAGTTCAACTGATAATTCAGGATATACAGTACTTCATTATGCAGGATATTGTAATGATGAAGAAATATTAAATATTATTGATGAATTATGTTATGTTGATGATATGATAGAAAATACAGTTAATCCAAGTTGTAGTACACCACTTCATTTTGCAGCAATGAATGGGTCAGATAAAACTGTTGCATGGTTATTAAAGAAAGGAGCATCACCAATGGTAGAGAATTGTATGGGACAAAGTCCACTTCTTCTTGGGATTAGAAATAAACATAAAGAAAGTGTAGAAATATTATTAGAAGTATCAACAGGAAATATTCCAGATAATTATGGACAATTAGCACTTCATTATGCAGCTGCTGTTGGATGTGATATAGAATTAATACAAAAAATATATAATAAATTTCCAAAAGCATTAAGTAAAATGGATACAAATGGAAATTTTCCATTTCATCATAGTGTTAAATCAAATGATAAAAAAATCTTAGACTTTTTCTTTGTTACAGGAGGAAAAAGTTTATTAGTTAAAAAGAATTCCAATGGATTAACACCATTAATGATAGCTGTTGCATGTGGAGCAATTGAATCGTTTAAATATTTAAGAGATATGGGAAGTGATTTATATGTTAAATCCATGTCAGGAACAACACCATTTTTATTAGCATGTGGATATGGACAAAAGAAAATGGCAGAAGTATTATTTAAAGATGATCCATCAGTAATTGGAGATTGTGATAATAGTGGAAATACAGCAGTTCATTATGCAGTTCAAAATAATCAAATTGAAATATTAAAATGGATAAGAGGAATTGCACCTGAAATCATTAAAAAGGCAAATAGTATTGGAGAAACACCATTACATATAGCATGTCTTTGTGGATATAAAAATATAGTAGAAAATTTAGAAGTATTTGGACTTAGTATGACAGAAGTAACAAAAAGTGGAAGAACCGCATTTCATTATGCGGTATTAGGTGGACATTTATCATTAGTCAGACAAATAGGAAGAAGTTGTAAAACAGGATTATTTGTTGGAGACAAAAATAAATTAACACCACTTCATTATTGTTGTGTTTATGGAATGGTTCATCTTATTGATGATATTATTGCAGCAGCACCAGAAACATTAAATGCAAGAGATGGATGTGGAAGAACACCATTACATGTTGCTGTAGTAATGAATGATGCAGTTTCAGTCAAAAAATTAATAGAACATGGATGTGATAAAACACAAATAGATATTAGAAAGTTAAGTGCACAACAATCAGCAATTAATAGAGGATATATTCATTGTTATGAATTAATTTCAGGAGAAACTAAATTTACGGCAATTAAAAAAGTAAGAATGGTTAGTGATTTTATGCCAGAAGAAGAAGAATTATTAAGACTAAAAAGTAATGAAATAGTTGAAGTATATTGGGAACATAAAAAAGGATGGGCTGTTGGTGGAATTAATGGTAGATATGGAATGTTCCCACTTGCTAAAGGAACAATCATTCCATTAAGTAAAGAAGAACAAGATAAAATTAATAATGTAATGGCAAATAAAAAGATGGTAAAAAAAGGAGTTGATAGAAAGAATAGGTCGGCATCAGTTGCATTTAAAGAAACAAATGAACAAAAGAAAATTAGTCAAAAATCAACTGATATTAATCCAGCTGCATTATTAGCTTTACAACAACAACCAACAAAGCCTGTTAGAAAACCAAGAAAAACTAGAGGTGGTGTAGTTGCACAAGATGTTTAACAATTAAATTTAATTAATTTTTCTTTTTATAAATAATCAAATATAATTTCATCATGGTTTGATATTAAAATAATACTCCATTTAAAAATTAA